ATGTTATTCAAGCTTGTGATGACTTTCTAATACCAAGATATTTTAGATACAATAAGACTTTGGAACTAATATTCAAAGATTTTTTGTGGCTCCAAATATAAAAGGCGGTCAAAGATTTTGTATAAACTTGTGATATTTGATCAAGATTAAAAATTCCTTGTTATAATCTTACAAATTTTTTTAGCCAATATCTATTTTAAATTAATTATAATCTTTAGTTTCTATAGATTTTATCAGAAATTTTTTAGTCTCAAATTCTTATGACTCTATATTCATGATAGTAGATCATTTCACAAAGATGGCACATTTTGTATCATGTACAAAATCTATCATAAGTAAAGAAATAATGAAGCTTTTCCTTGACAACATCTATAACTATCATAGATTGCTTAGGGATATTATATCAAATATGAGAACTTAGTTTATATCAAGTTTTTAAAGAATTCTTTTCAAAATTTTAAAAGTGGACATAAAACTATCTTTGATTTTCCATCCTCAAAGTAATTAACAAATAAAACATTGTTGTATTACATGAAGTCTTGCTCAAGAATACTTTAGGTATCTAGTTGTTAAAGATAGAATAGAAATTATAATAACAAAATCTTAATTCTAATTGAATACTAAAAAAATAACAATTAAATCTTAACAATGCCATGCAAGCTTTAATCAAATTCAAAAGAAACCTTAAAGAAATTACAAAAGAAATAATAAAAAATCTTAAAGAAGTTCAAAAAAATCTACAATAAACCTTAAAAGAATCTTTAAGAAATCTTAAAGAAATATTAAAATAATTAAAAATTTATTTTAAATAAATCTCAACTAAGTTCTAATTTAATCCTAGTTGAAATTCTAATAGATTTCAATCAAATCCTAAGCCAAATCCCAAATCCTAAGCAAATCCTAATCCTAAATCTTAAAAAAATCTTAAATCTTAAATCAAATCTTAAGAAAATTCTAAATTTTAAAGTCTAAATCAAATCCTAAATTCTATTTCAATTCTAAATCTTAATCGAATTCTAAATTTGAATCTAATTCTAATTTTAACTAAATTCTAATCAAAACCTAACCAACTCAACCTAATTCTAGCATAGTTTAGAACCTCAATATCTATCAATTAAATTTTTGATCTTACTTAAAATTTTGATACTTCTCAAAAATTAAATTGGAAATAAGCATACAAAATTTGAAGAAAATCAAACTTACCCAATAGAAGAAAAATATCAAAATCCGCTTTGGTATTGGTCGGCCTCCTTCAACCTTGATGCTAGTCTTTTAGTGCTAATATCTCCTCACACCATTCAATTATTTTCAAAATTCAAATATGTATAGTAAATTAAGTTTATTATCTCACAAAAAAATTTTACTTCAATCCAATTAGTAGATTACCGAAGAACTTAAAAATCCTGACTACCTTTCAAAGTATAATTTTTGAGACCTCAACCTACTTCATATTTAATAACCTTCAATTCAATCGTTTAATCAAATCCAAACTTAAAACATATACTTTATACAACTATTCTCATAAGTTCTCAAAATTTGAATTGTAAATCTACTACCAAATTTACAAATTTTTTAAAAACGTAATATCCTTTTTATTTCACAAATTTTAGAGTCATCCAAAATAATTACAACTTTGTAAAGCTTTTAAAAAGTCATTACACACTCAAATCATTCAAAATCAATGTCCAAAAAAACCTTATCAAGTCTACTCTCAAATCCTACTTTTTAATCTCTAAGAGAACCTTAAAGTTTCTATAGGTGCCTAATTTTTTTATTTTAGGATTTGATTTCAATCTAGGTTTATAATTGGTTCTCTTGCAACATCAAATTTTATTCTTTTGAATTAATTTTTGCTAAAATCAACTCTTAACTTCATCTTACATATGCTTATATTCTATATTTTTCTAATCTATCTTATTTTGCCTTATTTATGGCCTTTTAAACTAAATAAAAGTCTACTTTATAAAAAGATAACATTTACATCTTTAGTTTTATTTTCTTTTAGACTATTGTCTATTTTTTAAGATAATTTGCTATAATATTTGAAGTAAGATCTCCTATAATATAATAATTTATTCACCTTTTTCATCTATAAGTTGTATTACATCACGATAGTGTATAAATTAAGTTTTGGAGTTTTATTTGAGGTGTACTATGAACTACTAATAAGGTGATTGGATAAATCTTTTGCTACTAGTAAAATTTGCTTATAATAACATAATATATTTTTCTATGTAACAAACATCTTTTTTTACTAATTATGATTATTATCTATGACTTGATACTTTTGACTTTTCAAAAGTTGATTATTCTACAACAAAGTATTTGACAAATCATTTATCTGAGCTATATACAAGAATGGATGTGTGGCTAAAAGATGCTCAAAAATAATAAAAAAACAACATGGATGCTTATGTCACAGACATACTATCATGAATATACATACTTACTTTAATAATTACCTATATGATAAAATAAAAGTTAATAAAAGTAGATTAATTTCATAATATTTTTTTAAAAAACTTCCTAAAAGCTTCATAGACACAATTTTGACTTTATACGTCTTCATAGTTGATTTTTAGGTTAGAAATTTAGTCCATAAATTAGCCACATATCACACATGTAGATTACTTATGGAACAAGCTAATTATGTGGCTCACACATAGAAAACTTATCTTGTCAGTTAAGACAGGTGATTTACAAAGTCAACAAATGTTGGAGGTCCTATAGAACGTTGCCATATAACTCTTAGGTGGATAGTATATATAGAAGCAAAAGTAAAGTCTTTTTTACTCTTGTCAATTTTTTTCTTGTTTTAGTCTTGATTCAAGAATCTTTAGTTTTCCTCTCTTTTCGCAATAGCCATTCTAGTTTCCTTTTAATATAAATGTTTTCTTATTTCTATTTTGTCATACTTCTTTGAAAAAAATCTTATTTCATTATTTAATTTTATCAAATTCTTATCTTTGACAGATTGATAAGAGTATACGTACAATATGATAAATTTAGTATTTTTTTGATTAAAAGAAGATTACCTCTTTTTCTTGATAAAATATAAGCATATTAAAAATTATGAATTATCTTCTTCTAAATTCATATTATCTTTAGTATTTTCTTTATTCTTAAGTTGTTTCTTCTATTTGTCTTCAGTGATATTAGATATCTTTTTTTTTCTAAGTGTTATTATTACAAAGCTTTTTAAAATGAAGAATGCAATGGCACAAATATAAGAGCAAAAAAAATAACAAATAAAAATAAATAATACTTACAATGTATTAATTTAATTTACCACTATAAAAATAACAAGAATAGTAGGAAACAAAGATATATAGAGATGATTGGAGTTATGTCAACATTTGCACCAATTCATATCCCTTCTTCTATGGTGGAATATCCTTCTAGTATTAAAGAACCAAAAGCTGTATTACTTAAGAAGTTTGGTGGAATAAGATCTAAGTTTTGAGGATTTATTAAATAAGTAAAACTTGTAATTGAAATTTAACTCCAAAGCTATCCAACTTCAAGATTACAAGTTAATTTCATTAGTACACTTCTTTTAGATTTAGCATTATCATTTTTATTTATTTATTTATTTATTTAATAATAAGATTTAATTTTGATTAATCTAGAAGCTTTATTTGGTGGAGTTTCGATCCATATATGGAGAACATGATACAATTCATGTTGCAACTAAAAAAATCCATATTTGTGACAAGGCAATCGATCAATATGTTATTTGTTTCATAATTTTGATAACTTGCAATTAATATGAAGTGAAATGATGTTGCATTTGTTGGCTAATTTTTCTACAGATTATAATATAAAGTAAAACAATTAATGCTCAACTTACTTGTTCTTCAAACATTGAATCAAAAATTGACTTTGTTGTGAAATAAGACAATTGAATTTTTAAATTTTAATCTAAGAATTACATAAGTGTGCCTCAATGTTATTATAATTCAATGAAAACACCAATATTTTTTCAACATATACATTCAAAAGTAGAAGATATGCAAATTAATATGGTGCATTTCAAATCTCTTACTATGCAAGAAATGATTTGTCGTCGTCAAGAAAGATTGTACTTGTATTGTGGAGAACTTAAATACACTACCTATCATTGTTCAAAAAAATGATGCAATCACAAAATAAAGAGTACAACTATGAAAGAAGAGAATATGTCAAAAAAACAAATTTGTTTAATTATAATAAGAACCATGCAGTTGAAATCTTATACAACACCTAATAGAGATTCTATTTTTTCCATTGAATCTTTTCTTTTACAAAAATATTATTTCAAGAGCTAAATATCACAAAGCCTCTGCCTTGTTAGATTCAAGAGCCTCAACGTCTTTCTTACATAAAGAATTTGTTAAAAGACATAATATATCTTTTATAAAGAAAACTAGACCTATTCATGTAGAAGTCATAAATGGCTATGTATTGTCTTCAAAAGATGTTATTTATGAAATTATTCCTATAGAAATAATAACTAATAATCATAGCAGCTTTGTAATATTTAATATCATTAGATCTCCTTTTAATCTACTCATTTTAGGTTTATTATGAATAAAAAAAATATAATTCTAAAATAAATTGGATTTCTTGTAGTCTTGACTTTTCTAAAAGTATAACTATGAATGTAGTTAATCAAGTAAAAAGTCATAAGTCTGATACAACTAAATCTATATTTTTAGGTAGAAGAACTTTCTTGCATGTTGCAAAAGAAGAATTATCTTATATCATTTATGCCGCACTCGTTTCTAATAGTGGAAAGACTTCAAGTAATATTCCAAGATAATATCAAGATTTTCAAGATGTATTTGAAAAAAAAAATATAAATATTCTTCTTAAACATCACCCCTATGACTATTCAATTGACCTTCAAGAAGGAACTCTACTACTGTTTGGACCAATCTATAATTTATCACAAAATAAATTGGCTGAATTTAAAGAATATATTGAAGAAAATCTAGCCAAGAAATCTAATTGGTTATTTAATGGTTGTGGCAGGACCCAAAACAAAGGCAACAATCTTGGCCACTTTGAATCTGTTTGACTCAGTGCTGTTGATTCTGACCTTGTGCTTCCATTCTATATTTGATGGTATAACCATTGGTGTAGCAGGTCAGTCAATTGATGCAACACCTAAATGTTTTCTTGGATAGGTTGGGGGATCTGCAATTGTAATTAATTAATGCAAAGGTTTCGTAGCGGCTATCAATTTTCTTGAAAAGTCTATAATGATCACAGTGCTTTCCATGGCAGACATCAATGTTTAGTTTACAGTTAATTTGAAGAATATTTCCGAAATTTTATAGCTTTTTGGAGGATTCAATTGCAGGAACCAAGGCCGGCTCTTGGGAGAAAATGTGGATGGTTGGGATCCACAAAGTGGTCTTGGCTTTAGCTATGGGCATTGTAGTGCTCCGTTTGGCATCAAACCGGCCACTACTAAGCTCTTTGCTCTACGGCTTGGTCTTCGCCAACTCCACATCTGTCGGTGTCGTCATCGGCATCCTCATCAATGGCACAGCAGAGGGAGGAACTGCTGATTGGATCTTCGCAATCTGGATGGGGATTGCCACAGGTGTGTTCCTCTACGTTGTCGCCCACCATTTCTTGACCAAGGATCACAAGCTCCTTCATATTGCAAAGCATATGTGAAGGATCAAAGAATTTGTATCCATTCTTGCATCACTGTTTTTTTTCTAGTGCACATCAATTGCTGACCGTTTGAGGTTCTACGAAAACTGGAATGCATTGCAAAGAAATGACACTGCTGAGGAGCTTTGAACAGGATGCGATGAGGCTATGATTCCACCACCCGAAAGATACGAGTCTCTTCTTGTTGACATGTTTAGAGTCCTGGCTAGCTTTTACACTTTCAATACTTAAACTCACAATCACTGCTTCTCACACTCATTTGCGAAAGTCAATGTATTCCCCAGAACCCACCATCACAAACACTAGAACTGAATGTGCACACCATGGACTCTGCTGGTCTGTGAGAAAAGTTTGTGACAACCAATTAATCACCCGAGAGATTCTTTTTCTTCTTATGAACTGGTACCCTTCTGCTTTACGTCGGCTTTTGGGTTTTTTACTTGCATTGAGCGTAATCTAGAGATTTTCTCGGTCAGTTTTTCTGAAGTATTTCAGATTTGAATTGGAAATTTTGACGTTTCATTAAATTGGTCTGTAAGTGAAGGTCAGTAGTTCTCAGACATTGAAGTGCCGCAATCAATAATCAGGACAGTAATCAGAACAGTAATCAGACCTACTTCAAGCCAGAACTCTGAGCACTGGTTCATGTCTGACAATCATCTTCCAGTACTGTAGTTCTAACTTCCAAGTGCTTCTGAGATAAGTTCACTGTGTCTTTATATTATCCCTGACGAAAGACATGCATTACGTACTATTGAAGAAGAGTCAAGGTAGAGTATTTGTTGTAGATTATTCTTAATGGCTTGCTTATGTCACATTTCAAACTTTCAACTTAAACTCAGAAGAAGAGTTTTTGATCCACATGGATCATTGAAGGTTGTGCGTTTCAATTATTCTGTATAGTGGATGACATGCAATATTTGTAGTATCAAATGAATGAATATCATTAATTTCAATTAATTTCCTTGAATATACATGGCAATTTAGTATAAATGTTATTATTTGGATAATGTTTGTTTAATAAAATGCAAATTGAGCTAGTATGTACAGATGTCTAATTCAAATTAGTTTAAGCTATTATTTATTTTGCAATGTTAGTTACAATAGACAATCTTAATTCTAAGGATATGTCCAAAAAGTTGTAGACCTAATTTTTGGATTAAGTAAGTCAAATTTATATTCCAAAAAAATATATATAAATATAAAGTTAATAAAATATAATTAGAAAAATATAAATATATTTTTTTAATAGATGAAATAAAATATTAATTTTTTGATAAAATAAATCCATATTCTTTTTTTGGTTAGTATTTTTTTGTACCTTGTTTAATTTTCTAAAATTTTATTATAATAAAGATAAAATAAAATTTAAAAAATAAAAATATTTTATAGACTGAAGAGTTTTAAATTACAAAATTTCTTTAGAAAAAACAATGCTACTAAGACAAAGAAGCTAAATCATGAAGGTAATATAAAAGTTGAGGATTATTGTAAAAAAAATTTAATTAGATGTTTGTATAAACTACTTAATTTAAAAATTTCTAAAATTATAAAATTAAAATAAATAAGATTTAAATGTATTTAAAACTTCTACTTCAAAATAAAATAAAAGTATAAATTTATATAATTATAAAATAATAATAATGATAATAATAATTTAAATTCTAAACTTAAAAATTATAATTTTTTTTATGTTAAAGTAATCAACAAAAACCTCTCATCTTTCAACTCTACCTTACATTTAATTAATGTGTAAATTATTTCAAAGAAACTTAAGAACAAGTGCACAAGCCATGATTTAATGTCCATTTTAATGAACAAAATCCAATTTCCATGAGCATTGAGTATAAATGTAGATATTAATCTAAAATAAAATTGGAAAATATGCAATACTTGCTCAATCTTCTGATCTCCTAAATGTTCATACAAAGCTTAAAAATCATTAAGATAGCCAATTCATTGTCAAAAATCTCCCCTCTTTTCCTTCCATTTTTCTTATATAGGGTGGACTATTTTCATTAGTCAAAAAATTAGACATGACATCTATTACTTTGAAATAATTCAAGAGTTGATAAAAATGATGTTAAGATATGAGCAATATATATATGTTTTTATTATATTTAGTGTTAAAATAAAGAAGTAAAAATAAAAATAAAATAAATTACTTTATAAAAGATATTACCTTACATAAGTTGCTAATAGTCAAAAGATTGACTCTTGGTGGTTAAAAGGGATATTTTATGGATATAAGATGAAGTCAAGGACTAAGAGGATAAAGTATAAACTAGGGAAGATTCAAAGACTAGGTAAGAATAATTAGTGTTTGGCATAGGATATCCTTGAAGGAAGTTAGATGCCAAAAGATCCTGGGACCATGTGTGTAAAAGTTAAAGAATGGAAATTATCTTTTAGAACAGTAACCACTACTTATAAGTATTGGGTATCAGAAGTAAGAGATATCTTACTCCATACTTTTTTTGTGTACAACCTTGTTGATGCTAAGTATAATAATTTTATAGTGCTTATTTTTTAATAGGTTATGGGCCTATTCATATTTAATTGTAATTTTTGAAGTTCTTTAAAATTTTACTTAATGTGAAGAGTAGACCTTTTGATCATTGCTGATATTAAGGTTTGATATTATGCAACCAAAAGATCAACTACATTGTTGCATCTAGTTGTTGATGTAGTTTTATTCTTATTTGTTATTAAATGCATTGATAATCTTGGAGGTTATTAAATACCTTAGAATGATGTTTTAAAACACTAGTATTGTGTTTCTTTACTGATTTACATCATTTGTGATCTAACATTGTGGTTTTATGTGATAAACTTCCCTTGAGATCCTTTTATAATAATAAAAAGTATTTTGTTAGGTTAGAAGTAATTCATGAGAGGAGAGGGGTAATTGTGGAGTAGCAAAGTTTATACAAGAGATTAAGACAAATTATAAGATTTGTGAAAAGTCTTATAAGTGAAATTGAGAGTGATTAAAGAGTAAAAACACTTGTTTATTCATAAAGAAGGCATTTTGAATTTCTAAAGCAACAACACCTTCTTGTTGATTCTGAGAGTTTTTTTTTTTTTTTTTTTTTTTTTTTTTCTTTTCTTTTCTTGATTTTTTTTGATACACTTCTTTTTTTTAGACATGGCTTTAATTGAAGGTGAGAATTTGAGAGTGATTGAGAAATTTAGAGGTGACAGCTTCTACCATTGGAAGAAAAAAATAGAACTTTTGTTGGCTTCATTGGACCTTTGAGACATTGTAGATGAAAGTAAAGGGCTTTCAAGTGATGATGTTGATGTTAAGGTGAAGAAGGAGTACAAACGTTGTAAAAAGAAGGCTTTTGGCATGATTTTATTAAATTTGGATGATGCCAACTTTTCACATATAATTGCTTGTAATGGATCAGTAGAAGTACAAAAGACTCTTTGTAACATCTATGAGAGTAGAAACCTTGCCAACATTCTATAGACAAAGATAAAATTCTTAACAATAAAGATGGAAGAAGGAAATGATTTCATGATTCATGTCAACAAGGTAAAAGCAATTACAAACTAACTAGCAATTCTTGACGAGCTAGTTGATGATAAAGACATTGTATTGACATTATTCAAAATCTTCCTAAGTCCTACAATTACCTCATTGTAGCATTAGAATTTATCAACATAAAAGAACTTATTATGAATTATGTTACATCAAGGCTTGCTCATGAAGTAACCAAGTAGAAAAAAAAAGAGCTTCAAAGTGATGATTCGAGTCTATTTTTAAGACAAAGCAAAAATAGCTATTTTTATTAATATAATAATTTAAAAAGAAACATAAAAAATTACTATATTTAAAAAAACTATGTCACTTTGTTAGAAATTACTACAAAGCTAAGAAAAGAGGGATAGAAAGAATGCAAACAATGCTTGTGATAACTTTGATGGAGATGACTATGCTTTCATGGTGAGTGAAGGAGCCTCTATGGCTGCTATATCTAAGTGGATTATAGCTTTGGATACTATTAAGCATATGACACGATATAAATATTTATTTAATATTTATAAAAAAAATTTAGCAACCAAAGTTTGCTTTGGAGGCAATGGCATGCTACAAGCGATTGGAATTGGATCCATTATTGTAGAAATCATTGTGAAGGACCAAATCAAAAAAATCAGGTTAAAAGAGGACTTACAAAGATGAAGAAAACCCTTCTTTTACTGAGCAAACTTATATCACATTATTATAAGATTCAATTTGATAAAAATGGATGTTTTGTGAAGACATTATTTGAACAACATGGTGCCAAAGGCCTTATAGATGGCAACCTCTACTTCATAAATTGTAAGAAGGTGAACAATGTAGAAGTCGTAGTATTTGCTAATTTTTCATAAGATCAAGATAAGTTTGAAATTTGGAATCAACGACTTAGTCATTTGAATGCCAAAAGTATGAAGGACCCTCAATCCATGGTAAGTGGCTTGGAACTTAGTGAATTCAACTAGAATGCCTTGACACTTATTTGAAAAGGATGTATATAAGGCAAACAATAAAGGGCTTGATTTCTAAGAAGAGTTGTGACGTGTGCAAGCAAATTATTAGAAATTATATATTTTGATGTTTGTAGACTAATGTCAACACCATCAATTGGAGAAACAACGTACTTTGTCATATTTATTGATGATTTTTCAAAAAAAATATAAATTTATATCCTTAAAGTCAAGATTGAATATTTCTTAAGGTTTAAGGAATTTAAGGTTTTTGTAGAGAAACAATGTAAGTGCAGCTCAAAGTATTAGACATGAATAATGGAAGTGAGTACATATCAAAATATTTTGATGAGTTCTTAAAGATTCAAAGCATTACAAGATAATCCTCTACTCCCTACACTTTACAACAAAATGAAGCTGCTGAAAGAAAAAATTGCACCAATATAGAGATGGTAAGAAATATACTTTATGTATAAAATATTAGACATGAATATTAGGCAAAAGTAGTGATAAATACAATGTAT